AGCACCTGCTTCTGTGGGAGTTTTGCTTGGCTCACCTCCTACTATGTCTTTGGATAAATAAAGTTCTTATTTGAAATATAGACAAAAGTCCCATGAGGGGCACTCTTTCTAAAGAGAAGGATTCTTCCTCTCTGGCATTTTTCCTTTTTTACTTTAAACAGGATGTGGCTGCTATTTTAGTTTCTCAAGACCTGTTAATGACATTAGCATGCCTGCCAGGAATCTGAAGATTTCCTTCCATAAGCTGATTTCAACCTCTGTAAGGCATACCCCTTTCCTAACCCATTTTCCTTATTGTTTCTCCGGTGTCATTGCATGAGGACACAAGCCAGTCATTTCTAATGTATTTCAGAAGCGTAGTCAATAAATTGCATCCCCATCCACCAGCTGCTGAGGAAGTCAGAGCCCAATCCATATTTTCCCTCCCTCAGAGAGATTTCTCCAACAAGATCATCATCATGTGTTTCATTCAGATTTGCTTGCTTGAGTCAGACTGCATTCTGCTTTCCACTTCGGCTTAGGAAACACAACTGCTGCACTTCATGGAATACCAAGTTTTAATATCAGAGGGGTAGCCTTGTTAGTCAGAATCTGCAAAAGCAGTGAGGAGTCCTGTGGCAACTTATAGACTCGCAGAAGTGTTGGAGCGTAAGCTTTCGTGGGCAAAGACCCACTTTGTCAGATGCATGTAGTGGAAATTTAGTTTTAATGTGTAGCATGTGGATGAGTAGTTCCCCGTAATGAACAGGATAAAAGTCAAAGTACTATCTTTGGCCGTACAGCAAATTGCCCATATCTTTATCACAGAAATATACATGATGAAATGTGTTTTCAAAATTGTACAAAGACAAACACATGAAGCCTATTCCAGGGTTTCAGGAGTCCCCTACATTTCCCAGGCTCATTACAGAGATTTTTAATAACACATTATTGCTTTGTGTGTTGCGTTAAAGCCATTAGTCTCTCTACTCAGCAGCTTTAATGCTAATTTACTTTGTTTAGCTACAGCAGTACATATGGTATGTACAATCCTCTGATAAAGGACCATATGTGCTGTAATGCATTGGTTAAAAGAGGTAAGTTAAGGACACCCTGGCAGATTTAATTCATATTTTTCTTATGCAGTTGGCTTATGTTTCAGTGATACTTTATTGTATAGTTTGTCTTTAAATTTCAAGCCTGTTTGCCAGAATGGCAGTGCAATTTACTAGATTAAAAAGGATAAACTTAAAAAACAACAACTGGTCGGGTAGCACTTTATAGACTAACAAAACATGAAGATGGTATCATGAGCTTTCGTGGGCACAACCCACGTCTTCAGATGACCGGAGATTAAATAGGTTTAACAAACAAGAGATAAGGCTCATTATTATGGTTGATGTGTTTAGTTAGAAGGATAATATAGCTCCTCAGTAATTTTATTTTTTAAACAAACACTTTTGTCCTAACAAGAAATCAGTTGGTTCATGTGTGTTCAGGACTTTGTGAGTGCAAAATCTAGGATCTCTGGCCACATTTCAAGTTTAGAAAATAGGAGGCTTCCTGGCTACTAATGAAGTCAAAGGAAATCTCTGCATAAGCTATGGGTTAGAAGACATGGTAAGGATCCACTAAATCGAATACTGTACTGATGGTGCCCTCATCGGCCTCGGTACTCCATGGGGTTGTGGGGAGTAAGGGAAGTTAACAGGAGAGCTTCTCCTATAGTGGAGCTGCCACAGAAGTTCAACTGAAAACATCTTAAATCAGATCTCTTCCCCAGTGTAGACCTGGCTGTATGTGGTGTAGCCATCATCTGAAAGAACATTGCAAGTACATTGACATTCAAATAACAGGGTACTGGGTGGCAAAAGCAAGTAAGAAAGTAAAATGAGTGAGGGCTGGCTGCTAAAGAACAGACTGAACTAAAGACCGTGTACGAACAAAAAGCTCTTCTATCTAAATACATTGCAAAACACAACAAAGCAAGAGCTGTAGCCACTACTACTTACACGGCTCTCACCCAAGAATATTCGGATTGACTCAGCCTGGTAGGAACTAGAAAGGCATTCATTTTGCAGCCACCTCTGCATTTGGTACACACAAAGGGGATTAGCAAAGTGGTGGGCTGCACTGAATTTCACATTGTTAAGGGCTACATGACTGTGACTTATACAGCATCTGCAGGCATTAGCTCTTGCTTCTGTTATTGCTATTCATATCTGTAATGTAGCCTTAGCTAAGCCTCTTACAACCCAGCGAGTTAACAGTGTCCACTGCAGAGCAGCACAGGGAGTAAACTGCAGACTCAATAGCTTGTAAGCTCCTTGATGAAGGGATCACGCCTCTCTCGGTGTGCAAAGTGCACACCAGAAATACAGAACTGTAATGCTGATCACAAATTGCCGGACAGTGTCCACTGGGCATGCTGCGTTTTTGTGCAGGCCGGCATTTGCCGGCAGTCTCTTCCAAATTCGTACACTGCAGGCTTTAAGACCTTACCTCAGTGGCGTCCTGAGGACCATATGCGGCCCATCAGGGTTCTCAGGGCAACCCAAGACATTCCATTTACCGTTGCTCATGCACAGGGTTGCCAGATTCTGCTGGTTTCTGTCCGTGTCATTTTTTTCATACCGTATTGCTCCAGTGACAAAGCAAGGGCACGTGAAGCAAGATGCACACAGCATTGACTCTAAAACCGTGCATTCCCTCTGCATCCGAAGTGCTGCTACAGTTCAGTCAGTGCACCCCGGAAATGCTACGTGTGCAAGCGCAGTCAACAAAACTACCCGGTCCCAGGGGAGATCATCTTGATTACAAATCTTGCAGCCCACTGAGATGCAGCCCCCGGCCCACTCACTGGCCTAGGTTGCCCATTGCTACCTCACTTTCTAATGTTAGTCTAAAGAACTAAAACTATTACACCACTCACATGAAAGCATTACATTTCCACAAAACCAGCATCAAGCCTACCCCTTTGGAACACAGTGCCAGGGAAACCTCCTTGTTCAAAGGCCTTGCATGCCACAGTGTTTCAACAGCATCACTCTCTTGTAACCAAGAGATACTGTAGTGACACTAGCAGAAATACATGTGACCAGACCTAAGCAGCTGCAAACCCCATTAAAGGGAGCAGGCGATGAGGTGCTCAGTAGTGCTCAGCGCAGCTAAGAGGACTTTTGCTGTTGATGTCTATTGGAGTAGAACGGAGACTCTGAAGGAAGAGGTTGGGTTTCACACCAGCGCTTTGGGGCTGTACACCACTTAGCCAACAACATTTCCAGACACTACGATAATAGAAATAATGCAGCCAATTAGCAAAGAGGGCAGGCAGAAAAGAGTCCAGCTGCTCACTACCTACAAAAGAAAGCCACAAAAAGCACAAGCTCAGAAGCAGGAAGCTTACATGACCATTTTTGGAGTGGATTACACGCAACAGTGGTTTTATACGTTATTGAACTAGATAGTTCAGCTCCTGTAACACAGAGGAAGAGGTGGTCCCATCCTGTTGGCACTTACCTAAACAACTTTGCCTTAGAGATACATAACAGGATTAACATCAGAGGAGGAAGCCATCTGTTTTGTGAAAACGTGTCCACCACGGTTCTTTCCCATTGTCCATAACGAGACAGCTGCTAATGACAACTCACTGAGTCCTGACCTAGACAGGGAGGTTTGGTCAGATTGTGAACTGGTGCATGAATGAGACAGCCAGGTGCACATGACTTATGCATGCACCTCGCTATCTAACCCATTTGCACGTATTTACAAATGCAGGTTTTTATTTTTAGTCCAGTCCCACTGTGCTCTGAAGAAAGAGGACGTGGGTGCATGTAACCCACCCATCTTCTGGGTACGGTGGACTGTCCCATCTAGAGGCACCCAGACCCAGAGAGAATAATGAGTCTGCTCTACAGCCTTAGCGAATAGCGAGCTGGATTTTAGCTCATGTGGAGGTATAGCGGCTCATGTACTAAGCTCCAGAGGTCCCAGGTTTGATTCCACTCAGACAACTGCAGTCTGTCTCCGTTACATGTAACTGTCTTCTCAAACACATTTTAACATCAACAGGAAACATTACGCTCCTTCCTAATGCCCTACACCAGCGATGGGCAACTGAGGCTAGCGAGTGGGCCGCATGGGTGGCCCTCCATCATCTCAGTGGGCCACAAGGCTGTCCTAACCTAGACTGTCTCTTGGAATAGGGTATAGCTTTTCTAGCTGTGCTTGTGCACCAAAAGTTCTTGGGGGTGGGGGGGAGGGTGCCAATGGAACCATAGCAGCGCTTGGACTGGATGCAGAGGGAGTGCACGGCTCTCACAATCAACATTGTGTGCAATCAGTACACGCGTCCCTTTAGTAATACCGGAAGGACAAAAACCACTTGGAAGGAAACTAGCAGAATACGGCAACTCCCTGCTCGTGGGCAATGGTAAACAAAATGCCTCGTGGGCCTCATGCAGAAGCACAA